CCCCCTCCCCATGCGCTCACCTTTACGATTTCTTCTCAGCCCTGAGATAAAGCTAGCATTTTGTCACCGTCCTCTGGAATTAAAGATCTCCGCACACTTGTAGGTGTTTGATTAAAAAAAAAAAAAATCGTTTCCCTACCCTCAAGAAATAGTAATTTGCTTCCTCAGTCTATGCAGCTCCTCAGTCAACTGAAACCACTCGTTCAAGACAGCAACAATCCAGATATACTAGCAAGTCATAAAACTGAACAAAAGCCGACAAACCTTAGAGCACCATCGCTATATGGCCCAGACAAATTACGACCGTCTAGGTAATATTTAAATAGATTCCTAAAGTAATTGCAGGGGGTTTAGGCAACTATTCCTGTTGTAAAAGTTCTCGAAGACATAAAGTAGAACCTGAGGATAAACAGTCACAAAAAGAGGTAAAATTAAAAGGATTCATTCCACGTTTTTTTATTCTTCTATGAGAACATAAACATCGTCTTTTTCACGCACAGCAGCATTACAATATTAATTTATTCCGATTTAAGGTAAGAACTAGATATAGCTAGAACTAACATTTATAATAACCATAGAATGCTTTTGCTTAAAACAGTATCGGCATTTTAATAATAATAGACATTTATACATATCTGTATTTATAGTTTTCCCCTTTCTTTTTTTTTTTTTTTATCTTTTTAAAATTTTTCACCTATATGTTTGACCCTTTAATGCATATAACTTCACAGTATAAAGGAAGACGAGCATATTCTCCCTCGCAATCTCAGACTCTGGCTCAGAAAGTCCTTCTGATGTTCAGGATACATACTTTTCAGTGAAATTAGTGAGGAAAAAGTGACTACTTTCTTCTCAAGGGGGAATTTCTGTGTGCTTGTCATGTGTTACCAACGGTAACGTTATTTATAGACCAAAATAAAAATCACTAATTCCACATATTTAAGCAAAACTACATTAAGTAAATATCTACAACCAGAAAGAGAGAGAAATTCAGAGGTAAGTGTCATAATTCAGTCCATGAGCAACACGAACTCTTTTATACCTTTAAAGAGAAGATATTTCATTTTCCTGGCCGATTTTAAAGCTGTAATATTGACTTTTAAGGTAAAGCAAAAAAAGAATTGCTCTTAACACCCGTTCCCATGAAGCCCTTTTAAAGGATGCCTGCATTTCATTATTGTAAGTCCTGCATTTGGAAAGAAAAAGGGGGGAGGGGGGAGAAAAGGAAAACAGAGAGGGGGGAAAGCTCCCAATATATAGAAATATGGCAAGACTTAAATTCTTCATTCTGCAGCTACGTACAGTCCAAGTTACACCACTTATAATTTAAAAGAATGCGCCTTTAACCGAACTTGTTTACTTTTCAGAGAGAGATATGAGGGGAATATATTTGCAGCTCCTGAAATAGTATTTCTCTGTTTCAAAGCTTAGAGGAACAAATCGGCCCCGGGGAAGGCTGAAGAAAGCGGGGAGGTTCATGCACGGCATTTTGTGCATTAGCGTGGCTTTAGTCCGGCCTCCCCCTCCCACCCCAAAGTAGGTCTTACGATGTTAAGGACATATTGCGAACGTCTAGAAATCGTTAATCCATACAGGTGCGGATGACTACAGCCTAGGAAAATGATACTGGCTCTTTAAAACATAAAGATATGTTTAGAGGTTCATCAAGAGAAATTAAAGTTGGCTGTGAGCTCCCGAATCCTATTCTCTCTGTTCATTTTCTTCAGTTTCATTCTGCGGTTCTGAAACCAGATTTTAACTTGTCTGTCTGTGAGGTGGACTGTGCGGCTGATCTCTAGGCGACGCTCACGAGTCAGGTACATATTGAATAGAAACTCCTTTTCCAGCTCGAGAGTTTGATGCTTGGTATAAGGGCACCGTTTCTTTCTGCCACTTTTTGCCGTGAGCCAGTTTGCTGCATTTTCTCCTTTTGAATTGCCTAGTTTTGAGAAAGTAAAAAATGGGCGTTACCAGCGAGTAGGAGGCAAAGAGCCGGAGGGGACAGAGTGGAAGGAGCATCTGTGTGTGTGTGTCTGCGTGTGTGCGGGGGGCTCACTTCGCCAGCTACGAGGAGTTGGAATGTAGGGTGTCCTTGTGGGAACAAAGAGCTTCGAAGTGGTTTCTCCAAGAGTCCTGGATCCTCCCGGGAAATTCTACCTCTGATCAAAAAACTCCGGGCAGCCTCTGGTGGGACAGCGTGCCCCGCTGGGATCTTTATCTCCGACACCCCCCCCCAAACAGGCTTTTACCCGCTCCTCCTCGGCCTCTCCCAACCTACTGTTACTGGGGGACAGCTTGGTGAAAGGCCTGGAGTCTTTCCCCCCCCTCCCAGGCACCTGCTTCCAAAAAAAACCCCAAAGCCTGAGGATCTGAACTTTGTAAGCATGTTCTGGAGGTGAAAAACAAGGTGAGCTGAGGACCCGGAGTCTTCCCGCCTCCAGTCCCTGCCTTCCCGGGGAGCTTCGCCCCGGCCCTCTCTTTTTCCAACCATTTCCAGAGAGAAAATAAAAATAAAATAAAAAAAAAATATCCCCCCGTTGCAGAGTGTTTATTCCTAGCAGTGGAACTGCCTGGCAAAGAGGTAACAGCGATCCCTCGATGGCTCTGAGTGGTTCGTGGTTTGGGGTTGGCTCTCTAGTAGTTTTCCGCTTTCTTTTTTGTTTTGATCTTATTATTTTCCAACGGGGCTCCTGAAGGAGTAACAGGGCTTCTGAAATGCGGCCGGAAAGAAGCTCCTGAAAAGTCTGCCGCCGAGGGAAAGGGAGGTATTTTTTTTACCATGGGGACCCGAAAGGAAAATAAATAAGCAAATGAATAAATAACAACCCGGTTATCTAGTGTAGACGCTGAAGGATATTCGCGAGGCATTCATCAGTCTAATTTGATAGCAGTTCATAGATGGCACATTTCAGAGCGGCTGTTACTCCGAAAAGCATTCTGGATCGTAAAATATAACTTACCGCGTTAATAGGTTTATTTATTGGCACTGCCTATTGCTTATTTTGGATGCTTTACAAACATCTCTGTTATCTAGTAGGCACCTTCTCATCACAGGGGAAAGATTGATCTTGTTTTTCTGTATGTTTTAGCAGCATGCAGGCTAAAGTTGCCCAGAGCGGAGGCTCTAAGGGTTTTAAACTATAGGATGGACATTAATTTTTACGGCAACCCCATGCCCGAATATTACAAAGTTCAGAAGGTCAGTCTGAGCAGCGCTTCTTGGCAGCCCCGCGGGGCTGCTGGGATCCTCCTTTCGCATCGCGATGCCACTATTATCCTCAACTGTTTTTTTTTTTTCCTGTTTTTTTTTTTTAATCATCATCACCACCACCATCACCGTCATCAGTGTTCGCTTACCTATGGGCTCTTTCTCGGGAGAGGCTTTGCTGCTCTCTGACGGAGCTGGAGAGAGCTCCTCTGCGGTGGAAGATGAAGCCTGAGTCTCGTCCTCCCTCTGGGAGACGCACGCCAAGGGACTGGGGGAGCGCTCCTCGTCCTCCTTCCTCCCCGCGTCCGGGACGGGAGGCAAAGATGGAGGCGTCTGGAAGCGGCCGGGGGGCTGCGGAGGGAAGGGGGCAGCCCCGGCCGGCCCCGCGCCGTAGCTCTTGGAGGTGCCATAAGCCTGGGAGAGGCGGAAGTAGCCCGGGACGGGGACCCCGCCGGCGCTGTTGGCCGGGCTGACCTCGGCGCTGAGCCGGGGGAAGGGAGCGAGGTCTGTGGCGGCCGAGCCCTTGGGGCATTTCTCTGAGTCATAGAGGCAGTAGGAGCTCTCCTCCTTAATGCTTGGAGCGAAGGAGCACGAGGTGGCCTGCTGGCTCTCCGGCTCTTCCATACGACAGGACCGGGGGGGGGCTAGCCACACACACGTAGGGGTGCGAGCCGGGGACCATGCTTTGAGAAGTACCTTCATTGCGTTTGCTCAAAACGGGGAAAAGTCCGCAGCTTTGCAGCCCGTAGGACAGATCGGACGCCTGTGGCAGGGGGGGCAGGTAGATACCACTGTGGGGGTAGTAGCCGCCTCCGCCTCCGCCTCCTGCTCCCGCCGCTTCCCCTCTGCCCGAGCTGATCAAGGAGTCTACCAAAAAAGAGTTTGCAGCCGGGCTCTCGGAGCATGACATTGTTGTGGAATAATTTGGCGAAGGGAGCAGATAGCCCTTTCTGGCTGACATTTCTTGTGCAAAACATGCTGAATATGATTAGAGATACCCCCGCACCACGGCAGACGCTTGCAGCCAATGGAAGCCCGGGCCTCCCCAGCCACCCCTCCCCGTCTGGTTTCGTATGCACCGAGCTGCTCTCAGGTCGACCTCTGAATTTGGGAGATAGATGTATATTAATGTGTAATATGGATTTCCATACACACAGGCGCGCACGCTTCGCCCACATGGGCGAGTGGCTGGG